ACAATGAAGAAATTCGTTGTAGAGAGGATTTCTTTGTATAAAACCCCTATATAACATTGGAGTTGACCCTGGGGGTCCACGAACAAAATCGTTATACAGTGAAAATCGTTGTAAACAATATCTTCCTAGGGATAGAGAGAGAGAAAATCCACCTGTATTACTCTGTAAATTTAGCGTCAATACTCGTGTGCGTCCCACCAATAAATTACTGAACTTATGAAGCAAACCCCGTGCACACGAAGCAGCTGTACGGAACAGAGGTTTTGAAGACAGACAAAACAACAAACAAAGCAAAAAATAAAAGAAGAGAAAAATTAGAAAATAAGAATTACAACAACTGAAAAATCGAGGCGCAAATGAATAAAAAAAATCCCAAGTGGGCGCCGGGCTCGCTGTCGAGAAACGAGAGGAAGAGAGAGAGAGAGAGAGAGAGAGAGATGCGAGAGATGGGTTTCGTCACAAGTACAGTGGGGTTCAAGCGCCGCCGCGGCGTCTCAACCTTGACCGCAAAGCGTCTGCAACCGCCGCCGCGGCGTCCTGCGTCTAAAACAAGTATTTAAAAAAACAACAACAAAGCAAAGCAATAACAAAAAACAAAACAAAAAACTACGCCGAGCCGTGATTTGTTCATGTTGTGTTTTGTTTATTCATATGTTTGCTTTTTTTTGTTGGGTTCTTGTACATGTTTCAGCTTTTCGTGGATTTTTTTTTAATCGAATATGCCAAGTTTTTCTGTCTCTTTCTCGTTTTTTTTTTTTTAAATTCCACCGCCATTTGAATCACTTCGGTGTTCACGCTGCTATTTTTGGGCGCCGTTGTCAATTTTCTTACAATCGACGGATCCCGTGTATTGTCTGCAATCTCCGTTTTAGGAAACGATCTTTTGGGTTAAATTGTTGATCCTGGGAATGCCGGTGAAGAAATGCCTTTGATGATTCAGATCATGATTATATTCCGTTGCGAAAAACGTTTTTAACTGTTCCTCCAAAGATTTGAAATGGGAACAGAGATGACTTCGAGGAAGTCTGAAATAAGCTTTCGAAATACTGTACTGCAATATTTTAAAACTAAAACTGGGAAGACATTTTTACCGTGTTGTTGTTATCAAAAAATACAGTAGGTAGGAAAAATATCAGGAAAATATTAAAAACCCATTCGGAATTGACTTTTGGAACGTTTATGTACACTATGATCAGTTGAAAGCAGTGAGATGGACAAATAATCGAAAGTCGTACCGCGGAATCTATGAAAATTACAAATGAATTTTGTTCTATACATCAATCAACTAAAAATAAAAGGTGGAAATACTGTATTTATGAAAATTGAAGCTTTCTTGTCTGGTTGTGCCTGCGAAAAGGGATAAAACTTCGAATTGTAGCTGGACATTCCGTCCTTCGTCGCATTTTCGAGAAATTTTTATTCCTTGATTAAAGCTAGGGAAAAAAATAAAAACGAGAGATTTTTCTACTTCTTCTTATCATTCCTAGAACCGGGATTTTCCCAGGAAATAGGTTGGTTATCGTGAGAAATCATTGCGAGAAATAAAATCGCTTGTCAAAACATGCATTTCCCAGAAGATAAAAATCTATACGTAAATGCCATCAGAATATTCGATTTTCCAGTTTCTGGCGATAATTTTATTCCGGCTCAATTGTTCCAGAAATTTTCTCTGACGACAGAAAAAAAACGATTGAAAATAATTCGCGTTTTCCACAGAGATTGTAATAATCGTTTGCGTTTATCGTGGTGCTTGAAATGTTTCGAATTGGAAGCTGAAAAATATTTCTCTGGAAACAGACAATTCATTTTTCCAGGATTTATTTGCGTTTTTTAATGGCAATCGTAATTTTTCAGTCGTCATTTCACTGAAGTTATACTGAAGTTCGGAAACTTGATTAACCTTGCGCTGTGCTGTAAAAAAAATATCAAGCCTGGAATTAAATGTGATGTACGATGGAAACTTTTACGAAAGTATTGAATGTTCAACTGGGTCACTTGAAACAATTGCATCATTACAGTAAGAGTGTTCTACCGCCATAAATTTCCAGAATAAAAATGTCAGTTGTGTTTATTCGTGGTACAACACTCATCTGAAAGCTGGTCTGATTTGATACAGGAGTTGAATTTGATGAGCTTCCATCGGCTTCTATTTGTTCTGTCTAAGGGATGACGTACTGTACACTTACTCTGCCATAAATTAAAATTTCACAGCTTGTTATCTTTTATTATTTTGTTGTTTTTTTTTTGTGTGTGTTGAGAAACTGGAGAGAAATTACGGAGGCGAATCTTTGGGCAAAGCGTCGGTCGTTATTCGGTGATGGTATTTTTAAAAGCCGAATAAATCCTTAGTTTGGGGAACCGAGAATTAACATATTTATGTGTCCGTGGCTGCTGGCGCCTGATCTTGTCCCCAATTCCCCGAGGAATTCTGAATTTTACATGAGACTTGTATATTGAATTTGACCTTTGCCGTGCCGTGGTGCCCCTCGGCTTTTTCTCTTTTCGCCTTCTTGTACCACGTGGAATCCTCTGGGAATCATATGATGATGCCCTCTGGAGGGCTTCCCGTATATGATTTCCACGAATCTCATGGAGTAAAATGGTGTTGTATTTTTACAGTATACAGTGAGACCCCGAGATGCTTGCAGACATAATTAATGCATCAAGAGTGTCCCAAAGTCAAAATGTCCACAAGTCAAGTCTCATTTCCCCTTAGACTTACATTATATAATTTTATTTGGTGTTTTACGTACAAAATACTCACCATAATTCCATGGAAATAAAAATTGTCTCCCAATTTAAACTGATTCCAATCAATGTGTTTCAACACAATATGGACATTTGAGGAATTTAATACTGATACCGTTGTACGGTAAATGTTGGCATCCTCTGTAAAAATAACATACAAGTCAAAAAGAGAGAAGCAAGTCCCTCTATGCTGGAGGTAATTTTTAAAAATAAGTTAAATGGATGGTAAATTGGTGAGAGAAATGCCCAAGAACTTTTCTTGTGTCAATTTTAGGGTTGGAAATATCTGTTTCTTGTAATTTGGCCTGAAATGTATTTGCAATTTTATCACAAAATGTCCCTATGCTGATTCAGTGTCCTCATGTTGGACCTTTTTTACTAATACTTTATGTGAAAATAAGTGTCCCTATGTCAATTTGTCTGCAGGTCAAGGTGTCTGCTTGTGGGGGTCTCATTTTACTGTATATTAAAAAAAAATTTGTGCATGACGCATAAAAACTTTCTTACTGATTTCCATAGGATAACTCCCATTGCTGCTCAGAATTTCTTTCGATTTCACGTTGACGGATATGTTCAGAAAACTGCTGCGTACTTTTTTTTTTTTTTTTAGATATTTTCAAATATTTCTGGGTCTTTATGAAGAATTTCTGATCACTGAGCGATTCATTTATGCCTCATTGAAAGTCGTGAACACCATTAATGCGTTTTTTCCATAATGATAATTGCCGGGACGCGTTGCAGCAGGTTCTTGTATTATTTCTGAAGGAGAAAATTAGATTTCGAAAGCAAGAAATTTTGTGAGGCTTGAGTTTGAATTGTCTTTTTTTTTTACGATACAAAGATTTGAATGGTTCGGCTCAGCTGAGGTGATATTGCGTCAGCTGACTGGGGAGTGGGTCTCGTTGCCCCGCCCAGAAAAAAAGGTTCTGCAGAAAGATGAGGGTATTTCTTGAAAATTTGCCCTCGTTTCGGAAAGATGGAGTGATCGTATTTGTTTTCTTCTTTGGAACCGGAATGTTTTTATGCTGAACCCAGAAGCTGGATAAAATGATTTTAAAAATTACTGCTCTTTGAAAAATAATTTCCTTGTTCTCGCCTAAAACTTGCTCTTCACAAGCATTTTCAACTTATTTTAAGGTGACATCAAGTGAGAGTCAAACCTAACGTAAACAAACCAAAGGTATAAAAACACAGCGTAAACTAATGGAAAATAAATTAACTTAACCCAGAGCTCCCCAACCTTTCTGATGGGCACGCATACCACAAACAATTTTTAGGAATGGCAAATATCCAAAATATTTCCTATGGACCAGCAAAGTTGTATCAAGTTTTTGCAGACTCCAAAATGTTTTGAGTGAAAGATTTTATGGCAAGTACAGTATTTGGAAAAAAATTCTGCTTTTTCTGGCAAAAAATAACCCAATGAAGCATGTACGAGTATATAGTTGAATGTCTTCAAAGAATCGGAAAAAGTTTCTCAGAATGAAAAAAATTGAAGTAATTTTTTCAGCAGGTGGAAATTTGTCTGAAGGGTTATTAGAAGAAAAGCCTTCTTATACTGTACTTTTCATCAGATAATTGAAACTGTCATTGTCTTTCAAAAACTTTCAGATAGATATAACAGACTTCATTGCTACTTTTGATACATTTAATATGCTACAGAAAGTTTCCCTGTGGACTGCGAAACAACTTCTGGTTACTGGCACCAGTCCATGGACCACAGTTTGGGGAACACTGACCTAACCTACCTGAGCTTGCAAAAAATTAAAAATAACCTACCTTGTTCACCTACCAAAAATAAAATAAGCCAACCTAAAGTAGCCATAAGGAAAACAATCCAACTTAAATTAACCAAATATCAAATAAACTAATCCAATGTATAACATAAAGTAAACCATCGAATGGTATTGAACAACAAGCTGAAGACCTTGTGCTTTAAATAAACTTTTACTGCTATTTTGTTTTCAATGTCAGGAAATGAGTGGGTGTATGGATACATGTCAGATGTCCAGTTTTATTTTGTGGATTGTATTTTATTTTTTTGTCATCAATTTGTGCTTTGTTTCCTGCTTTGAAGTGATTAAATGTCTTTGAGGGGATTTGGGTTGGGTGGGGAAGGGGTTTGGATGTGGAAATCTTGATTGTACCTCGTGAACGCTGAAAAGCAGCAAATAAAGTGTTCTGTTCATTCATTCATTTCGATCCAGTTAATCCGAGTCGAGAGATACCGCAAAGTACCAAGGCAAAGGTGCTTACGATACAGGATGAGCAGGTGTAGAATGATCTTCGGGAAACACGTGCGTGACTTGATGATGCGGATGCACGGCGATGCTTTGGTTGAGCGTGAGCTTCGAGTGCGCGAAGTTTTGCCAACAACTCGTGCCCAAATTGTGAGTCGAATCGGTTGAATCAAACCTGCCAAATCGCAATCAAAACACACATTTGTAGCAGGAATAAAAAATTGAAATGTCTTCGCGGATGCACGAGTAAATCTGTGACGGTCTTTCGAAAATTCGATTGCCTCGGGCATAAAGGAATACGTTACACTGAGAAATCACCAGACTTCCGTCAGAATCCTTCACTTTTGGAGCACCAACGTTTCCGTTTCACACAAAGAATGTCACAAAGCATTTCAACACTTGAAAAAAAAAAAATTCAAATGGGTCTCCATTCCTCTGATAAAAATACAAGATTCACGAAAACAATAACTTCGTTCCGAATTCAAAAATACGCGGCAATCCACTTGAATTTCAAATTCTGGACCCGAAATTCACGTCTCGCACTTCTAACAACTTCGAATCACAGACAAATTTTCACGTAACAAAAAAAAAATTCACTGTGTCCCCGTTTTTTTTTTCCTTCTTCTGGGATTTAGCACGAGAATTCAACAACTAACCTGAAAAACTCTTTGGGATTCGGACTCTCGCCCAGGTTGCACAAGAGTTGAAACGTGGAGAAAAGGAATGGATTGAGACTCAGGGCTTTCCGCAGGGCCTGAACACCAAGATTTCTTCGCTCGCTTTTCACGTAAAGCTCTCCGAGCATCGCAAGCACGAAACAGCTCATATCACCGAATTCCGCCACGAGTTCGTCGAAGCCCTTCAAACCCTGACTTCCTACCAATGCCGCCTCTGCTTCTTGTAGCCTGGAACACATCACAGAAAAAGAAATAACTACTGTACAATCGCACTCCGTTTAAGACTCAGAAACGTTTAATTCATAAAAAAAAAGCGCAATCACACCAAATATTCGCGTAACTATGAGCAAAATCATGGGGCTGGGGATGTTTCGAGTCAGAGGAAATAAGCATGTGTGTTGTGGGAAAGATAGAAAAATTGCAGAAAATTGTGAACGATGATATTCTGGGCCTTAGAATGCTCTTTAAATGAGTTGACAGGATGTTGAACTAAAAGGCAAGGGTTTATTCGCCCAATTAGCCTCTCACTTCCCTTCAAAACACATCGAGTTCCATTGTTTGTCGCTTTCCTCATTCCAGTGTCATTTAAATAATTGTCAAAAGGCCCCAGAAAATTCGAGTTATGGAAGTTTGAGGAGGGACGCCTTCGAGTTAGGGAGGCTTTTCGTGCATAGTTTCTGAGGAAATTCAGACACAGACATGAAAAAAAAAGAAAATTGACACAAGGAGATATTTGAGTTATCGAGGTTCAACTGTAGTTCTTCGTAGAGGAAAACATTCGCCACGATGCAAGACTCACCGATTGATTTTCCAACAACATCGAGCCAAAAGATACTTGCTCGCCGGCTTCGACACAGGACATTTACTCAATACATCGTAGGCTTGAAGAGTATCACCCGCTTTGTAATAACAAGTGGCCAATGTATGCGCAGATTCTTCAGTGGTCACTGCGAAAAAAAAAAAAATACCGACATCAACACAAAACATCCCCGCTTAAAAGGTAGAAACTTACGTTCTGCGTGGAGTCTTTCCGCTAGGAAAACGGCGTCCGAGTACATGAAGTTCTGCAGGCAGTTCCATACTGCAGCCTACACAAAAAATTCAGTTCGTCAAATGTTTCCTATTCAGCCACATTTCATAAATTATACAATGTACTTCTTCGTTTCTCGAAAATTTACAGTGCGCTTGAGATTCCTAGTGACTCGCAACCAACGCGTTCATTCAAAATCAGGTATAAAATGTGAATAAATCAATTCTCACTACCACTAGCAAATTATGTGAAATCCAGACTTTCGTCCTACAGTTCCCGAGAATACCCCGTCAACCAGAAGAATAGCGGAACAAACGAACAGACTCTGTCAATTCTGAAGAAGTTGACAAATTACGGACGCGCATCACACTTTCTTAGTTCCATCTTCGAAGTACGAAAATTGACGAGCGAATCATATCCATCGCGTCTTATGCAGGAGTAGATGCAGAGTATTTTTCAAATGATTAATGGTGATTTAACACGACGAACATACCTGAACGGGCTCCAATACGATCATGACAAACCCCTCGGAAGCTCGTGAGAACAACACGGGTATTCAACCGTGATTTATACCCGCCGAACACGACTTTCTTTCTTTCCGTTAGAGCTGACAAAACATGTTTCGTCACACAGTTTCCACAAAACACACCTAACCAATGGAAGACATCAACGGTAAATGCAGCGCCGCGTCGACGCCAAGACACTCAACTCACCGCATGCAAAATAGATTTCATGCCAAGGACATCGTTGGGGAGTTCGCACACGCACGGGACAATAATTTAGATCGAATCGTTACTCTTAAATGCAGTCTGCAATGACGAGGATAACAATCCGAACATTCATAACAATCCGTTGGAATATTGAACACAACAACCACGCGACGCGCAGGGAACGCATCAGGATATGCATCTTTCATTTCGTTACAATGTTCCGCAACGTCTACTTCACGAACGCAAAGACTATCCATAATCAAATACATTGACCAGAGCATTAGTGAAAGATAAACTAGCGATGATCCACATATTTCATAGCCCAATCTTAGATCATTGTTCATGCCTGGAACTGTTCGAACTCACATCAGTGATGTAAATCTCGAGAATATACTGTATTTCCGGACGATCACAGCGCTGCACATGAATGCAACCGAATTAGATACTGTACATTCAAAATTAACGTGACTTCTCGCGAAGAATCTACACTAAAACACAAACTATCTCCGACATTCAACTTCGTTCACCTGCAATTGAAAAACGAATGAGGGAGCGATCTTCCTGACGCGAAGGGGTCATTCAACGTCTGTACATAGAGCGACATCTAGGAATGAACATACAAGAAGAAATGTTTGAAGTACGGTGGCCCACCACCAGTCTTGGTGGCCACTATTGAAGGCCTCATTGTACAGTATCAGGTTGAATATTGATCAAACAAACTTCAACCTCACTCCATGAGCAAGAACTCAGTTTTTGTGTAGCTGCTGACATGAGTGTTCTGAATGAAGCTCGCTCCAGAATACCAAAAGGTCCCCCAAAGCTCCTTCTGGTTGACCAAGTCATCAGCACCTTGGGTGAGTCAATTGTACAAACTATTGCAATCAAAGCTGCAAACCAAATACTGTCCTGCAATTTTAAGTGGGTGTTTTTTTATGTGACAGAGAAAATTCCAGGGGTGAATGGTGTCAAGTTAACAGTTGGGAATTCATGTGACAAATTGTCAATAACCTCCTGGGAGCAAAGAAACTGTTGCCTGCTGCCAACTGATTTGAAAAACTTTTATTTGGCACATGATGGGATGAAGATTGTTTGGAGGTTCAAACTCAAAATTGGTGAATACAGTAACATCAACCAATTCCTTAAAAAAAGGGATGGGTTTAAAATTCTATCTGCATTTTGTCATTCAGGTGAACACCTGTCTTTGGGGCATTGCAATGTAAATTGTTTGAATGACCTGAAGCGCTTGGGAGTCCCAGGATCTGTCATGGTGGAACAAATCACAACCCCAATAAATTCCTGTCAGCAACAGAAAGAAACACAAAATCATTCATCCAAGTCTGCTTCTGGAGAAAACTCATCAACACCTAATCTTGCAGAGATGATTCCTAAAACCCCAAGGAAGCTCAACCTTCCAACCAGCCAGTTCTCACCAAAGTGCAAGATATTTGAACTGGATCAAAACAGGTACAGTAACTTTTTCATAACAATAAACTCACACATCATGAGTCACAAATATTACTTTGTTGAATATTTTATTCAATACAGTAATATAATTTTGTTGATAAATCAATAATGTTTCAAATCAGCAGAAATATATAAATCCACACTGGATCATCAAGAACTATTTGGTATGTACTGCATTTTGTTTGTTTGGTAGGATCTGTTATTAGTGCCACATGTGATCTTTCAAATAATCTGCAACTGAATGAAATTTGTTTAAATTTAATACTGTATCTTCAAATATTTGTGGTGTATGTTCTATATACAGTAATATGTCCAACATTTTAATGCTGTACAGTGTTCAGTAAAAAAAGTGCTTATCACACATCTATTATTGAAACTTTCAAAATTTCCCACCAGACCTTTTTGTCCACAGAATTTATTGATGCAGTGTTTTGATACAATCACTCCATCCACTGCTGCTTCTGCTGCTGGTTTTTGCAATTTTGGCAACTCTTGAACTTCAAACATTATGCTGCATATTTATTCATTGGCAACTTTCAAATATTGTGGTCATTCTGTCATAGACTGCTGGATGATTTCAAATGAGGAAACATATGTTTGAAGAATTTTTTGAAAAATTGCTGTTATATATACAATAAAAACTTTTCAAAAAAATATAATCTAATGTCTTTCTATAAGGGATTCATTTATATTTTTAGCTGACAATTTATCACCTGAAAAATGTTGGTGATCAACAATTGCTGTATAATTAACAGATACTTTGAAGTGAAGTTGTGCAGAATATGGTGTATATCATGTATAGTTTTGATATCATGACTTGAAATAGGTCATGCAATGCACTCATTATTAATTATGTAGCACCTTTTCTATATTATTAATGATGGTTCATCATACAGAGGCCAAGGAACAGTCTGTCTGGTATATGGTGTCAGACCAAGGCCTTCTCAGCTAGACAGTGGCCAAGACTCCAATAACAGGCATCACTCCAGCAAGTCTGCAGCTTACCCAAATGCCCATGACCCTGAAATCTGGTTTCTAGACAAGACTGACAACTGGCACTACCTGGCCCCAACATTCACACAATACTACAGAATGATGTTGCTGCACCTTGGACTCCCCTTCTGGCAATACAGCTTCACACCACAGGGGCTCCCCAGAGATGCAAAGGTAGTTGAGCACTTAAATAATAAGAAACTACAGTGTACCATATATGAAACATTTGGAACTTTAATGCCTTATTTTGATTTTCCAGATCTGGTTCCAACACTTCATCCCAAAGTTGACTGATCATTCAGTGAAGCTTGAGAAGGATGAAGGAGAAGACAGTCCAAAGGCAGAGGAAATTGTGCACAATAAGATAGATCCAAACATCTTCAAGATAAAGTCCAAGCACTCCAGCAGTCATCCAACAGCATGAAGTAGCCTATCATCATGCATATCTTTCTAAAAGACCAAGATATTTCAGGAATACATGAAATATATATGAAAATAACCTTGGGTGTCCTAGATTTGTGCAAATGTATATACAGTATATTACCTATGGAGGTAGTGTACTCCTCAGAATTGATCCTGTGTCATTGATTGAGGTTACTTCTCAAAAAAGCCTTGTGAGCATTTAGCGATAAGACTTTCTATTGAATTTGTCCAACTTTTTATTGCTGTTATTTGACTAACATTTGACTGCAAATATATTTGGTATGCTACTTTATTTGATCAAAGTGTATTCTAATTCAGTTAGTACAGACAGCTAAACATACACTAGCTGTAATTCAATAAAAAATGCCAAAAATATCTTAGGGAAATTTATCAATCCAAAATGATTAGTTTTGTGTACAAAGTTTTCATAAAGTTAGAAAAACACATGTTGACTTATTATCCAATATATACCCTTGCTTAGGCTCAATTGAAGTAATGATCACAAAAACTCCAAAGAAAGACACAAAAGGGGCATTTGCATGTGCTAAATATTTCAAAAAGAGCAATCAATAAACAGTGTAAGACTTTTTTGGTAATATGATGTCCAACACTATCAAACCTTTTCCAAGAAATAATTAACATTTGAAAGCCACCTGGAAAATATTTTTGTTCTCTTCTCTGTATACATAGTTTAAGAATCTATTTAAAGGAAATTACATTATTCCCCTAATTACAGTACATCAAAATGATTTCTAACATCATGTTCAAAATTTAATCAACCATGCAAATGGCATTCATTAAGAAATGTGTCTAAAACACTTTTAGAATAGCACATTCAAACCAGATTTTCAACTGCTTGCATATTCATTTTCATATAAATTTTCCTAAATCCTAAAATACACCATTTGAGCAATTATTAAACAGTTCATGGAAGTTTGAGTATTGACCATTTTTTAATTCCCAGACCTGGTTCCATCACTGCCCCACAAAACTAATAAGTGATCAAACAGAAAAATTAAAGAGAAAATCAGGGGAATATCAGAGCACAGTAAATTGTGCAAAACCAGATAAACCCATAAGCACATAATTTAAAATCCAAGCATTTCATCAGCATTCATATGAGCAAGTCACTGCCTATAATGTTTTCTGAAAGTACTGTACACCATTTCAGCAACAAAAGCAAGACAACCACAACAACTACCAATGGCAAGTATGAAAAAGACACTCAAGAGGTTCTTCAGCTCCAAAACAAGCGCTTTGTCATCATTCTTCTTCTTGTCTGCTGCATATCTGGATTCAATGATCCTTGTAACATTTGTCTGTGACTCCCTGGATCTTTTTCTGACCTCTCTCAGGATCCCAAACCTGAAAATTTCCCACATAAAAAAAGATTGGTTTAATGTTTCAAAGTTGTAAATATTGTACTGTACCACTAACCTTGAAAACCTCCAGAGTATTTTGTCCACAGAATCCCCAAAGCTGCTGCTGAAAGGTGCAGCATATGCCACAGGGACACAAAACAGTTTGGCCTTGCTCACCATGAACTCTGATGGTCCCAAACTGACAGCAGCCCACCAAGCATCAGCATACATTTCAATAAGTGCACATCTGGGTCCACCTCTGGTGGCCAATGGTTTGTACTCCCACCAGTTGTCAGAGTCATTAAAATGTTGCAACTTCTTGTGCAACTGGGAATACACTGGCCTATCTTTGCTTTTTGTTAGAAAGTCATCCACGCTGTCACCCCACTGAACTCTCATCATTTTGTAGTTGTATTCACTGTTTAAAAACTCTTCCAAAGTGCTGGGCAAGGTTTCCATTTTGGGAATAGTCAAGTATGACACCAGAAAGCTGGAGTAGGCCATTATAACAACCATAGTGAAAAATATCCATGACATCCAAACCAGCCTTGGTGGATTCAAGGTTGCAAGTTTTCTCTCCTCAGCTCCAAACCCAAGCATGGCTTCAAAATATATGAATATCATGTCAATCCACCTGCCCATGGTTGTATTCTTGAATGCCTTTCTCATGAAATAATCCAGAGTAGTGGTCAACCCCATGATGATGAGCAAAACAATCCAAAACCATGATGGGTAGGGATCAAATGCTGTGAGGAGTATGTTCGATTCTATAGGCTTTGGAGATCTGGTAACTATTGAAACACATTCTTCATCCCATGCTTCCAAATACCTGAAAAGGAGAGAATTTTTCTTTAGTTATTTAATTAAAAA